ACTGCGTTTTTCTTTATATTGTAAGTTAATTGTGTTTGACAAAATTCGTCCTTCTCTATCTTAATCAGTTTCTTCCCCTATCTTGTCTTTTGTTATTGGTGGAGGTGGTTGCATTGCCATTATTCTTGTTATTTTTTAATCAGCCAAGCATATATCTTCGGGGTTAACTTTATTTGCTTCCTCTCCATTGTTGGCAGATTACCAGGTCAAGCGTTCCTGACCTAGTCATGTCTGTTCTATCCAGGGTGTCCTCTACTCTGAAGTTCTTTAGCCAACACCGATGGCTTTTGTTTTTCTTTTAACCTGTGACCAGGGCATTTCACTTGACATTAATAAGTGCTGCCTTGATCCGACAACTGATGCTTCATGGACCAGCACATCTTCTGCTTTAGCTCTGATATTGGGGTGTGCTCAAGAGACATGTTCAATGTAGAGGAGCAGAGAGCTTCAAATTCAGTCTGACACACAGCAGCCTCACTTCGCCTCTCAAATAATAAGGTCTTTGGTTTTACCTCAGTGATGTCATTTGAGAGATGTTTTATGGCTTGAGTTTTGAGAGTAACAAGGGGGTATTATTTCTGGTGGACAGCCTGGGGACCCTCCTTGTCACCTGCAACACTTTCTCCATAAGTGATGTCATCCAGTCTCATACTTTACAATTTAATCAATATCCTCTACCTGAGGCCAAACTCTTTGAAGTCCAGAATCATACACAACTCAATCTATTTGACATCTCCACCCGGGTGTCTTATATGATTTCAAATATAACATGTTATTGATTTTTGCTCACTACGTAAAATCCAGTGTGTTATGCTTCATGGTTACCTCATATCCTGGGATGTCTGTCCTTATATCAAGACATGCCTCCCTGAGAGATGAACCCAACGCAGACAATTCACCTAAGATGTATCCAATAGAAGCCTGATTGATGCTCTCCCTTGGTTTTGTAACTACAGCTCCTGTCAATTCTAACTCCTTTCTTTACGGGGTGGATAAAATGAACCTGTGACAGCTACCTGGCATCTTTGCCTCCAACGAAATCTTTCCTAGAAAGCAGCCAGTGTTACATTTTAAAACTACAATCCAGAACACGCAGTCCATTTGTAAAATCCTCCAAGACTCTTGTTTCTGAATTACCCGCCCCTCAAACAATTGCTTCTAGTTCTTTAACCAAGCTTTCCTTTAGCCATTTGACAATATTTAAGTGGTTTCAAGCCTGAGGCTTATGGTTCTTCAGAAACAGTTTCTTCCACTCTATTTCCTACCTTTGAATAAGCTATATTTTACTGTGTCTCTATATACCTTATAATTTTTTTGAGAACTAGGTATTTGGGGAAAAAAAAAAAAAAAAAAAAACAGCCGCCACTCCCAGACTTTGCAGACAGGCTCTGGGCTACAGCAATCTGTCAATAACTCATTTAACATGCTCTGAGTCTGGGATCAGCCCGGGTTAGAGCTTAGGGTCTGCTCGGGTTATGTTAATATGCATATTTGCCTGGTCCTTGAGTGGCCATTTTCAATCACCCCACATAAGTGCCTGCTTTTAAACCACTTAATGCCACAAAGAGTCTCATGTCAGCTCTCCTTGGGGTCTCAGTGGGTCCTCTGTACATCTCTGCCAATAATCTCTTGCCCCAGATAACGGTGAGTCTGCAGATCCCCTGGAGTTGTTTCTTTTTCCTGGTATCCATGTGAGGTAGGACAGAGATCAGTCATTCAGGTAGCCACCAAGTGGTTAGACCACTGCAAAGAAGGTCTGCTACGCTTGCTCCTGCTTGAGGAGAGGAGTTGGATCTGGGCTGCTGCCACCTCAGGTCAAGGCCACAGTATGCCTGGGATATTGTAGGAAAGAGCAAATAAAACCATCACAGTATTTCCTAGCACTTTGAATGTGCATTTTTCTGATTTGGGACTCTCTCACTTGCTTGTAGACCTTTGACAGCTCACCATGTTCCTCTTCAGTTATTTTCCTCTGGTCTAGCTGGTTTTTGATGTTCCCAAGGATCATAAGACCATGGAGCTTCTTAGTCAACAATTTTGCTGATGATTCTCCCCTGCATTTGGAATATCACTCTACCATTCATTTTGAAAGGCACCGGTGTGGTGGTGAGAATAGCCCATAAACAAACAAACAAACAAAAAGCCTGGCAACAACAAATGCAGGTGAGGATGTGTAGAAAAAAGAGCCCTCTTACATTGCTGGTGGGAACACAAACTGGCCCAGTCACTATGGAAAACTGTGTGGAGGATCCTACAAAAACCTAAAAATAGGGGCCTCCCTGGTGGCACGAGGGGTTAAGATGCAACATGTGAAGCTGTGCGCAGCCTCTGCAGCACGAGTTCAATCCCTGGCCAGGGATCTACCCACATGGCACAGCAGACTGCTCTTGTCTCCCCGCTGCTCCCCTCAGCAGTGTATCTCAGTAGATCCTCCTGTTCAGCTCCCCACTCTGTCTGTCTCTGGTGAATCCTCTTACACCCCCTGCACCTCTGGCCTGTACCCCAGGTCTTGTATGCATAAATAAATAAATTGTTTAAAAAAAACTAAAAGTAGGTCTACCTAATCATCCAGTGATTCCACTCCTAGGAATCTACCCAAAGGGCACAGAAAAAATAATTTGAATGAAAACCTGCACTCCTATGTTTACTGCAGCACTATTTACAATAGTCAAGATATGGAAACAACCCAAATGCCCCAAAACAGATGACTGTGTCAGGAAGATGCAGCGTATACACACAATGAAATACTACTCAGTGATCAAAAAAGATAAACTCATGCCATTTGCGGCAACATGGATGAACCAGAAGGGATTATGCTCAGTGAAATAAACCAGAAGGAGACACACACATACCGGATAGTGTCGCTTGCAGGTGGAACAAAGGAAAACCAACAAAGGGTCAGGAAAAAGACAAAACTTACAAGCTGACCCTAGATCCGAAGCATCCAGGGAGGAGGGGAAGGGGTCAAAAGAGGGAAGGGAAGACACAGGGGGCTGTGGTGATGGTTCAGGGAAGCCATGGAGGTGGGAAACTATGGTGGCGACCCCTGAGGGGAGAAATAAAATACTGCACAATAAAGAACAATGACATAAAAAATATTTAAAAAATGCCATGGTGTGGAAATATTTCATATCTTCATCATTATTTTTATCATTTAGCCTCCAGTATCTATTTTATCACTAACACTCTGAATTCCTCCCTGGATAACCAACACTTTTCCACTAAACACTTCCCCAGGTTCTTGTGACATTTCTGCAAAGTCAAAAAGATATTTGTATCAAAACTTTGCATCAGGTCATCCCTTTAAGCTGTTAATATCCATTTTATCAGAAAATGCAATGCTCCAGTTATAGTTCAGTTTCCTTACAGTGTTTCCCCCACCAACAGAACATTTTTTTTCCCCATTGACATACTCATGATAAGCTAGTGTTTATCAAAGCAAACTTTGGAAACATTTTAAAAAGATAGCATCTACGATTCATTTTTATTCATCTATCTATAAAATAGAAGTGAATTATCTACTTATCTGTCCCAAAGATCACTTTGTTAGAAGTTTTACAAGAAAAACATCCAGAAGCTCCCATTAATCTATTTGCTACTAAAGATACACTGGAATCCTCTAAGAAACAGGGCTGAATATATTCTACTTTGTAATATACCTGTGCCTTTAAAATACAGTAAACATCTTTTGTGTGAAATTCTTTAAGACCATAGGGACAAATTGACTTGTAAAATATTTTTCATAAAATCTAAAGGCATTTAAATAAAGCAAACATCTAGTTTTCTCAATAAAAAGTAATTATTTCACAAATGGAAGAAAGACATATAAGTTTTAAGTCTAATAACATTTATTTATTTGCAAAATAAGTGTTTTTCACAGTAAGTGTAAAACTTCTCAACCTAAATCTCAAGGATCAAAAACAAGTGTTCAAGGTTAAAAACAGGGCATCCCTGGTGGCACTAGGGGTTAAATCTCAGCACTATGAAGCTATCACCAGCCACTGCAGCATGAGTTCGATCCCCAGCCAGGGAGCTGACTCACATGGCACAGCAGACCTCTCCTGACTCCCCGCTGCTCCCCTCAGCAGTGTATTTCAGTGGATCTGCATGTTCTGCTCCCCACTCTGTCTCTGGTGAATCCTCTCACTCCCTACACCTCTGGCCTACACCCTAGCTCTTGTATGCACAAATAAAAAAATCTTTAAAAAAAGTTAAAAACATTTTTCAGGACTGAAAATTTCACATGCTGAAATTTATGTGAAAAAGTCAGTAAGGCTCTGGGGTCCTTAATCCAAAGTAGAAACACTTGAGTGTTTCTCATAAGGACAATCTTTGATGAATTTACCTTTTCTATGTATTTGTCACCGTTTGCAATGCTTTCAATAACAAGGAAATTAGACATTATATTCAGGTTTCTATGCCAGACATGCCTTTCCTTTGTGGACACTCTAGTATGTCATTTATGTTCTTGACACTTGTGAATAATTTCTCAAGTTTGTCTTCTTTCATATAAACCTTGGACTCTTGCCTTCCAAATAGCACACACCATTTGCATGGATTTATACTGTTAATAAATTAACAGAAAAAGGATCTCTGAGCTAAACCTAATCTATTTAACAAAGCTATCAATTAGGAAAACGCATTGATTAGGAAAAGCAATAAAATTCCTATTTGCTGGTACAGATTCGGTGACTTCAAGCCCTAATAAAAATGTCCTGCCAGTATTTTCTTCCTCCCAACAGAAGATATACATTTAGAAAATGGGAAAGTGAGCTATTTTAATAAAGCGATCCCAAGAGAACTGAGTAAATATATATTGTGTTTATTTGCTATTCAGTCAAACCCAGGTGATATTTCCACTCCCAATCTTTTATTTAATATCCCCCTGACCCTCACTTGCACCATATTATAGATCTCATCTCAAACTCAGTTAAATAAGTAAATCAAATTCTCGTAGCCCATGCACTTTGGGGCTATTCTTTGCTGCTAGTCAATCTTACCTTTTATTTTCACTTGTGAGATCAGGGCCATCAGCTGCAGCTCGGAAACATGGGTCTGCCCCTTCTCAGGACCATCAGCCATAGTTCACCCACACTTGGACATGATTTGTGAAGACAGCTGTTGGTTAAGAAAGGAAAATTATTTCAAATTTAATACCGCAAAGGGTGGGGAGAATTGAATTGGTTATAAGGCAAATGCCAGACTGTTCTCTCCTGCGAACGCCAATGAGAATGAGAATCAGAAGAACCACTTGATGTGAAAGGTGGGGGAGGGTGTTGTCATCGTAATTTAAGGCAAGGAGAGCAGCACCAGCCACACCTGACACCACAGTGAGGATGAAGGCCACCCCGGATCAATGGCCTTTGACTCGGAGTGCTGAGGAAGCACTAGGGTATTTATGGCACCATCTCTGTGAAGTTTCCACAGACTCCCAGGGTCAGAGAGATACGGAAAATGCTGGTAAATCATGTTAGTTCAGCGTACAGAAATGTGCTTCGTGCTGGAAGCAGAACTATGCAAACTTTCAGCCAATGACTATAAAAGAATGGACTGGCCTCTGTTCACTTGTATGTCTTTTAATCTGAATATTTAAATTCACCATTCAGCATTTATCTGCAGATAGTCAGCTTTACCTCGTTTTTGTCAAGATTCATTTTCGCATCCAGCTATACATTCAAATAGTTTTCATATTGTTTAATAGTCAGTGCATAGAGGTAGTGCATAGAGTGGATTTTTTTCTATTTACTCAAATATGACTAATTTTTCTGTGCTTTCACACCTATGATAAAGTCACATAAAATGTGATAATGTAAAAAAAAAAAGAATGCTGCTATCTAAGATTTAAGTCATTAACGCAAAAATTGCCAACTCTGTTATGCATTTACTTATTTTAATTGAGTCGTTGAATTAATTTCAGAGTACTTTTCTTTGTGATAACTGTAACAACCAAAAGGGTAGCAGGATTTTATTTTTAATAGAAAGTTATTGGTAATAAACGATTAATAAATATGACATATTTAAAAACCCAATGTCTATACGTTAGCAGATGTTACTGTGCTGGTGGAGCTAGTTTTCTGTAGAGAAAAAGTTAGGAAAGACATTTTGCATTCACTTCTTAGGTCTAACATCAAAATACCACAGGCTGAGTGGCTTAAACTACAGAAACTGATTTTCTTCTGTTTCTGGAGACTGGAAGGTCAAGATCAAGTGCTCATAGGCTTGGTGTTTTCTAAGAGCCCTCTCCTTAACTTGCACGTGGTCACCTTCATTTGCATCCTTGCACTGCGACTGCTCTGTGCTCCTGCCCCTGCATCTGTAACCCCTTCTTCTTACAATGACACTGGTCATATTGAATTAGGGTGAACCCACATGGCCTAATTTTACATTAATTGCACTCTTTAAAATTCCTGTAAGGGGCCTCCCTGGTGGCACAAGGGAGTAAGTTTCAGGACTAGGAAGCTATCGCCAGCCACTGCAGCATGAGTTTGATCCCCAGCCAAGGAACTGACCCACATGGTGCAGCAGACCTCTCCTGTCTCCCGCTGCTCCCCTCAGCAGTGGATTTCAGTGGATCCACCTGTTCTGTTCCCCACTCTGGCTCTGGTGAGTCCTCTCACCTTCCACACCTCTGGCCTATACCCTGGTCCTTGTATGCATAAACTTTAAAATAAATAAATAAATAAATAAATAAAATTCCTGTAGAGATGAGGGAAAGAATTTGCATAAATTAGGTAAAGGCGGCCATAGTATGATGAAGAATAGAATTGGGCTTTTCATGCTGAGCTTCATGTGGTATATATAGATGTTGATTTAGATGATGCATAGAAAACGTAGGATGCTACAATGAATATTACTTTGAAAAAGGCCTGTCTCCAAACACAGTTCAATTCTGAGGTACTGGGCCTTTGAAATTTGAAATACAAATTTTGGGGGCAGACAATTCAACCCTTAACACATGAGGAGCAATCGTGAATGCATTTCTGTCTTTAGAAATAATTTCTATTTCTTTTGAGTAAGACAGCATTTCTCAAGAGAATATAGGCTCTGAAACCATGTTTTCTGACTTCAAAGCTTCTCTGCCACTGCTCGTTCTGTCCTTCTGTGTCAGCTACAGAACTTCCCTGGGCCTCTGTTTTTGCCAATTTCTTCAGTAGAAATAACTGTAGACAAATCACAGATTTGGTGTGTGGAGGGAAATGAGTTAATTCATATATTGCTCTTAGAAGGACATCTATAAATATTCGGTAATTCTCAGACAATATTTGTACTTATTTTACTTATTTCCTTCTGTGGAGGTATATCACAAGTATATCCAATGAATGCAAATAAAAATCAAAGAGAAAACTTTTAATGGTTTGCCTCTATAAAGAAGTATATAACATGTTATATATGTAATTCATTTTCACTCTTGATCTTATATACTGTGTTTAATTATTGTCCAAAATAAATGCAACCGGGTTATGTACAAAGGAATAAATAACCCTATAATAGACAGTTTATGATGCCGTTGGTCATTACCAATTTTATCTCTAAACCATCAACTTATTTGTAGTCTCCATTAACTAGTCCCTTATTTATTAATAAATTGAACTAAATATTTGAAAAGTCTTATTTTATATTCGAACGTGAATCATGATTTTGCCTTTTTTGAAAAACATTTGTAAATTATATTTTCTAGCAATTTCAGAAAAATAAAATTGTGATGATCATAATATAGTTGGAGTCCTCATTGGGAGCTTTACCTGGAGCTATACTGCTTATTTCAAAAGTTGTTTCAAAATTTCAAAGACTAAACATTTAAAAACTTGTAACATGTTTATTGAGAGAAAGTGAGAGCCACCTACTAACTGCAGAGATAGAATGGCAGTCAACTGTTCCAATTTCTCCCTTTTTTACGGGGCCAGAGTATACAGAAGCATCAAACTTCCATATTAAAATCTACTTCAGGCACCTTTCACAAAATTTTATGATTTTTGTAAGTTGTAGTGTGTAACGTGATGTACATAGCCCAAACTCCAGTTGAACCATTTGGATCTCAAGAATAACATATAGACACCCAACACAGATTTGCATTTCCTTAAATGAATCCACACTGATATAAGAATATCTGGATCTAAGAGACACACTGACGATGATCGCCCAAATTTATTTTATTTTTTTAAAGATTCATTTATTTATTTATACAAGCACTGGGTACAGTCAGAAGTGCGGGAGGGTGAGAGAATTCACCAGAGCCAGAGTGGGGAGCAGAGCAGGCAGAAGTACCGAAGTACACTGCTGAGGGGAGCAGCGGGCGGCAGGAGAGGTCTGCGCGCCATGTGGGACCCTCCTCTGGTGGCCGGGGAGCAGCCGGGGATGGAACCGGCGCTGCAGAGGCTGCGGGCAGCTTTTCAACCCAGCGCCCAACCGCTGCGCCACCGGGGAGGCCCAAATTTAGTTTATTTTAAAGAAGGCCTCTTAAATTGTAAACCTTTCCTGTGCAATTGAATCATACTATTTAAAAAATCATTTGTTTCCCTTCAGTATTCTTCATTAATAGGAGAGAATAAAAAAGTAAGAAGAAATTGAAGTATTTAATAGAAGGTTGCAATGTTTTTGAAGTAGGAGAGTGTCATATCAAATTTTGTAACATTAAATAATTTAAGAACCCCACCTACACATAATCGCTTCTCATGGCTGGAGAATAGCTAAGAATGAATATGACAACTCCTGTGTGTCTTATAGTAGACACTGAAAATATATTCAGAACAGCTGACCTCATCAGCTGCAATCATACAACATTAATTCTTCCCCCAGAATATTGGATTTTGGAATGACTGCAGCACTGCCCTCCTCACTGAACACCACCTCCCTATGCCTCTGTTTCTTTCTATTTAAAGGAAAGTACAGGACGCATTTCACAGTTCTGGGACAAGATTAGAGACAATGAAAGAACATGAAAAACCGAGAGGTTGTTCTGAGTATCATTCCTTCACGATGCATCATAAAGTTTGTTTGACTTAGACTCTGGCACATGAGACCTTAGGTAGTGAATGGGCCTTTCCACACCGCAGAAAAAAACACTGAAATCTAAAAGTGAAACAAAAAAGTGGACATAATTGAAGACACCTGTGAGAGCGATGCAACCAAAAGCCCCGGAGCAGGGTTAGCTTGCTCGGTGAGTGGCTGCTGAAGGACTCGTGACTTCTTCAGCATTACCCAAACTTCTACTTCACCTTGGTTTTAGAGGTTATTTTTAATCACCATCATTGAGAATTTACATAGTGCTCTTCTGTTCCTAGAGCTGGACTTAAACAAAGCTTAAAATAAGTAAATAAAACTCCATCCCAACTCACATTACAAACTGAACTAAATGATGAAAACATTATTGCAAATGTTGGAAATAAAGTTATGCCTTGTTAGAAACACATTAAATTCTATTTAGATGAACTAATAGGGACAACTTGCTCTCAATTGGAAAGCATAAAAAATTATATGATTTCTATTCTTTTGAAAATGTTGTAAAACACACTATAAGACCTTTTAACTAAATGTGTTGTTAGTGTCACATGGCTGAAACTTGTTGGAATATGCATTTTGCTGCTGGAATGCAGGCAGGAGACTCAAGTTAAAATGAGGAGAAAGTGGAAACTATGACAATTGCAGAAATTTGCAAGTTGAAGGGCTTCGCTGTCTTCCAAAAAGTTTCAGAAATAATGAGAGTGAAGGGATATTTTAGTGTTCCCATTCCTTTAACAGACGGCCCCATTTTGAGGTAATCACAAACTAGAGTGTATTTGACCAATTAGCAAACGAGCTCAAATCACAGTCTTCTGACTTCTGGCACAAAATGTACCTTCAGGCAAACATTTACAACTTTCACTTAAATGTAGTTGGTTTATTTACCAAATTCCATAAGGACTGGTCGGCAGGACAGAACGTGATCAAGTCAAATCTGGCATTAAAAGCCAGCTTCAGAGTTACCTGCCTGTATCTTCGGTGGAGATTCTAAAGATCCATTAAGCTAAACTTCGACATTTTGCCGTCGGAGAAAGTGAGAGGCAAAGAGTGAAAAACGACAAGTAACATTTTGCTGCCTCTGGAAGGTCATGTGCTCTCCCACCCTTCCTAGGGAGGAGTTTCTGGAGGATTCCCTGAGGCTCCGTTTACCCAGCCCCACGGAGGAGGAGGGAGAATACATAATAAATTTGATTTGAGGTAGTTACTCACAAGCATGCCTTAAAACGTCTTCACTTCTGGATTTGTTTTTCAAAGAACTATTAAAATATCTAACATAAATAGGCAAGACCATCTATCTACTGTCGGATGCCAAAGATGGCCATCACTATTAGAAAGTTCAAGAATAGAGCCCAAAAAACTTACCTGAAAATCACCACCTGGGATGCAAGCCAGCCCAGGAAGGGCTAGGGAGGCAGAGGGACATGGGGTGGTGGGGCTGGCGTGCTGCCAGCCTCCTCACCACGACAATCTCTGAGTCCTACCTCCCTCTCCTCCCTGGTGTTTTCTCTCAGACTCCCTCTTAATCTTGCCTCATTTTGCCTCCTAAGCCTGTGTCGGTATTTACAGACACATGGGCCACGCCCTCGGGCCTCTCTGCCCAGGTGTCTGCAATTGCAGGTGCACCAGCCACAACAACATGCCTTAAAATGTCTTCACTTCTAGATTTGTTTTTCAAAGAACTATTAAAATATCTAGCAAGCAAGGCCACAGGTGCCAACCATAGAGGCCAGCTCCATGAAGGTGGAAAGAGCTGGTTGCAGTTCATTTCCCCTGCAAGGCCATAAAAGAGTAAGTGAGTAGGAATATGCAGTAAAAACCCACTGGAAATTAGCAAGGGCCAGAGAGGAAAGAAACACAGGAGCCAGGCATGCTGATGCTTAGGAGTCTTCACCCCTCACCTTCCCTCTATTGCCAGCCACAGAGCGTCTACACACCTGTGTGAACCAGCTCCTTCACTCTGGTCTTGCGTCCTATTTCCTCTTAGGATCAAGATACAAAGACACAGTCACTCAGATTTTGCCTCATGCCTGCATCGCTGATTATTCTGTCTTTACCAGTTAATTTGCACCAGCATAAACATATACAATGATTTTTCCTACAGAAAAAAAATTAAATAAATAAATAAATAAATAAAGCAAATCATTCCCAGCAAAAGTAAGGAATTCCTGGAATCAAATAGGGTAAAATTCAGCTAAATTTCAATCGCTCCCAGAAGGACAATCACAAAATAAATGACAGGAAAGCAAACAAAATAAATGTTTTTAAAAAGCATTTTTAAATTGAAGAAAAAGGAAGACATTCTTTGGAGGCCAGAAATAAGAAGAAAGCAAAAATCCCCAAAGGATGACCTAGTGTTGAAGCCAATTTTTGTGTGTTTGGTCTTTGGAGTTTCTGCCAATCATTGTTGGCCCGGAGCCTTGGTTTTAACTAGCTACGTATTTGGATGCACTACAAAGGGTAGGACTGAGATTTGGAGGTCAGCGAAGAAACCTAGAGCTGAGATTTTAGAAATTCAATCCCATTGACTCCTGCTGAAAGGATATGAAAAGAAGTAAAGAAATTGCTGTTACTTGCAGATGATAGGATTGCATATGTAAAAAAAGTAAAAAAATAATTTATGAGTTAGTTACTATAATTAAAAAGAGTTTAGCAATTTTGCAGGATAAAAGACCATTTCCAAATTTTAATTGAATTTCTATATTCTTGCAACAAAGAATTAAGAAATACAATAATCTCCCTCTCTAAGTATATACATCTTTATAGATCTCTCTCTGTAGCTTTCTGTCCCTCTCTCGCACATGAACATATATACACATACATATATGTATATAGAGAGATTGATAGGTATGTAGATAGATGCTATTTAAATATCTAAACAAGATGAGTAGTACCCCCTTTATCTTTCCACCCAATTCATCTGCCACTTTGTGGGGATGACACCGATAAAATTCCAGCTTTTCCCAATATACTTGTTTTGTTAACAGCAGCAGACATTCCACTAGGGTAAGATGAGCTCACAGACTAATGTGATATCAGGGAAGTGTGAATGCTTATAATAGAAAGAAGAGTGAAAAAAGACAGATAAAATAAAGAAACTGTTTTCCTTACTGTTTAATGACATTGCAGAACTGCTGAAGTAATGGGAACCATAGTTGCCTAGAGTCAAAGAAAATAGATGATATTCTGCACCCACTTTCTATGGGGGTGGCATTGCACACCCATAACATAGGCAAAGGTTTGGCTTTACCAGGCACTAATCGAGGAAATGGAGGCTGGGCAGGAAGAGCAAACAGCAGAGATTTTTTTGCAGCTGCTTAGTCTAAGGAAAACAAGGTAGAAAACTTGAGGGGTCTTAAATACATGGCTTCCATTCGTTACCAGAAGGATTTCCATTACATTTGTCAATTTCCGAAGCTGCATGAAGGAAATGAGTAGCAATCCAAGTTGATGACCTCGTCAGGGGAGAGCAGAATTTTTGTTCATCTGAAGGTGCTGAGGAACAAAGATCAAAATTCACAAACTACCAAAGGAAAGACTCTGGTAAAAACACCTGATCTCACTTGAAAGCTTTAGAAGGGCTCGTCCCCAAAACCAGGATTGAGCCAGAATTAGACCGAACCTTAACAAACCTTGAGTCTGCTCTCAATCGGCTCAGTGCATGTATTAAAGGCCATCAGTCCACATTCCTTCTTGGAGACAAATCTGCCCTTCACTCAAGAAAAATTGAGAAGTTTGAAAATGCAGAGTCTGGCAACATATAAGGATGACCAGGAACTCATTCATTGCTGATAGAAGAGCAAATTGGTGAAACTACTTTAGAAAGCAGTTGGGTTATTTCCTGAAATTGACCTAAGACAACAATTCCACTGATAAGAATGTGTCAGTCTTACACAGCACCATGCTGGAAATTTTTACAAAGATGCAAAAAAGATTCACAACAGCAAATGCCAAGACAATCAAAATCCCCATCAATTGATCAATGAATGAAAATACTTAGGTGTAGTCTCCTGGTGCAAAATTTAGCATTCAAAATAAATACCTCAGCCACACGCAACAACATGGGTGAAACTTGGCAATACCGGATAAAGAAAATACCAAAAGATCACATAAAGCACAGCATCTTTTTTTATAGCTTAAAACACATGACCTTATTAATTATCTATTTCAGATATACAAAAGGATGTAACACAAGTCTATTTAAAGACAGAAGAGGATCATTCCATGTGGGTATCATTCATAATGAGGTAACATGGAGCATTTCAGTGCTGCTTACACAGGACATAGATCTATAGGAGAAAAGAATGATTAACATAACCTAGAGTGTTTATGTTTTCTCGAGCAGAATTCTCTGCCACTGCGGAAGGCCACTGGAATGTTACAAAACTGGTAATTGGTGTTCAGTTTCTTGAACTGGGTAGTGTTCAATGGGTGTTTCACTAAACTGCCTCTTTCTAATCACTATTATGTTTGTCATTAAGTATTCAGTTATATGACATGATGTGTTTTGGAGATATATGTCACAATTTTTTTTCAAGATTTATTTATTTATGCACACAAGGGCTGGGGTACAGGCCAGAGGTGACAGGGGTGAGAGGATTCACCAGAGACACAGTGGGGAGCAGAACAGGTGGCTCTACTGAAATCCACTGCTGAGGGGAGCAGCGGGGAGACAGGAGGGGTCTGCTGTGCCGTGTGGGTAGTTCCCTAGCTGGGGATCAAACTCATGCTGCAGAGGCTGAGAATAGCTTCATAGATTGTGTCTTAACCCCTTGCACCACCAGGGAGGCCTGATATATTTCAAAATTGTAAAAAAGAAAAAAAAATATTAAAATCTCAACCAGTGGTGAATTTTCTCTGGGCCTCAGTTGTCTTCTCCTAGTAGCAACAGAAGTTCTGAAAGTCTTTTCTTCATGCTGACTCCTATTTTCTCTCATCCCTTTCTGTTAAATTCATTTCACTTAAACTGCAGATACTTCCATTACAGAAATTGGTCTCTTCAAGGTCACTATGACCTCCATTTTGCAGCTTCCCATCATCATTTCTAGTTCGTATCTTATTGGTACTCTCAGACACACAGGGTCTTGTCACCTTGCGCTCCGTCCTGAAACACATTCTCACCTGGCCTTTGGGAAACACACCTCTTATCCCACTTTGTTTATTTTCAATATTTTTGTCTTATTCCTCCTCCTCATCTTTCTCCATGATTAGTGGAGTGTTCAAATGTTCTGCACTTGAAGCTTTTTTTTTGTTTGTTTTTGATCAATACACATTCTCTAGATGTTCTTTCTGCCACATGGTTTGAAACCTACCAAGTTTCACACCAGCATACCTCACCTCTACAACATCTCTGAAGTTCTGTATGCCAACGGGACACTGGACAGCTCTCTTTTCTTGTCCAGTTGGCATCTCTAAATTACTTTATCAAGAATTAAAACTGCATTTGCCTCCTCAAACCACACACACACACACACACACATGCATGCAAACATACATTCAAACAGTGCATCAAGAAATCTGTTGTTATGCCTTCAAAATAATTCCAAAACCCAACTCTTTTGCTCTTTTGCTCTCATTTCTCACCTATCGGTTGGTCGTCTTAGTGGAACATTCAACATCTTTTTTTTTTTTTATTTTTAAGATTTATTTATATGCACACAAAAGCCAAGGTACAGGCCAGAGGTGTGTGTGTGTGGGGGGGGGGGTGAAGGGAGTACAGGCCAGAGGTGTGTGTGTGGGGGTGAAGGGATTCACCAGAGACAGAGTGGGGAACAACAGGAAGATCTACTGAAATCCACTGCTGAGGGGAGCAGCGGGGAGACAGGAAGGTCTGCTGCACCACGTGGGCCAGCTCCCTGTCCGGGGATCAAACTCGTGCTGCAGTGGCTGTGGACAGCTTCATAGTGCTGAGACTTAACCCCTTGCACCACCATGGAGGCCCTCAATAGCTGTCTATTAAATGTTTTTGCTCCTAGGCTTATGCTATATGCGACAGGCAGAATAAAGGACCCCCCAAATATGTCCACATTCCAATTTTCAGAAGATATGGACATGCTAGAAATTGGTAAGAAGGAATTAAGATAGCAGATGACATGAATTTAACACTGATGACATAAGTTGAACACAACCAAGGCTTTACCAGAGTAGAACCAATGGAACCACAGCTCCCTAGAAAACAGAACAGGAAGGCAGAAGAGAGAATGAGAAAGATGTGAGAAGGATTGGGCCCAATGCAAGACAGAGGAAAGAGGCCAGGACAAGAAAAGAGGGCAGACTCGAGGGGCTGGAGAAGACAAGGAAACAAACTGGATTCTTCCTGAGAGCTTCCAGCAAGGAATGCACCTGTCATCACCTTGATCTTAGCTCAGTGAGAAGAATGTCCAACTTCTTGTGTTTTGTTTAGGTCACCAAGTCGGTGGCGATTTGTGACAACATGCACAGGAAACTAACACAAAAACCGACAATTTTCTCTCAACATTGTT